TCGTCGTCTTTCGTTGAAATCAAGGATTTTTGAGTTTTGATGGTTATCGGAATGTGTAAGGGATTGGCATCGGAATTTCATCCATTGAAGATAGACGAGCTGCGCTACGGAAAACAGGTCGTAGWTTATCTTACTTCCTTTGTTTGTCCTTGCATGGCCTCGGCGTTTTGTTTGAGGAAAACTTTGAGTCGCACTACAAAGGAAGACGATGTCTTACCTCAAGGAAGATCAAAGTATGAACTTTTCACAATGCTAATATTTTCGCATGCTTTCAGTTTAGTTTTCAAGAAAGATTTGTTATTCRTGGAGTTTAATAAAGTATTTCACAATAGAACCTCTTAAGTCTTTATCAAACATAATTGAACAACTACAAGCCTTATATAAACTATTGTTTGTTTAATCTAAGTCCAATGTCAAGCCTTCAGACGAACGTATGACGGTTGAAGAGTAGGAAATGACAACAAAGATACGTGCTTGATATGGTTATAAAGGCATGGTATAGCGTGGTATATCAGTTATGTACATGATCTCTCCTTCGAAGAACTTCAATAAGCWGTATCAGACTTTCTAACAAGACAAAATACTTGATATTTTGATTTCTTTCAAGTGTTTCAAMGACCTTTTTTCTCGTGGTTCTGGTTCTCGTCGATTAATCAGTAAACAAAGTTGTTTGGTGTGGCTACATCTGAGCGTGAACTGTTTCTGTCGCTAAGAGTATCATCAGGTCTTCCGAAATTGGTGAGTTGAGAACCKTTTGATGAGATCTACAGCACTACAATGCGTCAAAGGGTCACTCTAATATAYTTGATTTGCATTATTACCCTTGGTTTGAAAGACATGATTGATGTAACTTTCATCGGAAAAGTCTTCACTAAACATGTGCTCATTGTTTTTTTTTTAAATTGCTAATATAAACGATATACAGTTAGTAGTTTATTAAGCTAGAGCCGTCTAGATGTCAATTTTTTGTAGCAAAAGTGTAAAATAGTGTGTTAMATTTAATTGTTCTTAGACTTCTTATCTTAGATTCGGTCTTTTCAGCGTGTCACAAAGTCAGTTGCAGTAGTTTKAAAGCACTTGCTGTTGTCGATACACCGGAGTGCTTAGTTTGTTTCTAAGGTCAACATAGTCCATCATTTCAACTGAACRCGCAGTTTTGATAACCCTATAGTCTGCTCTACCAAAATAGTCCGATCTAACAAAACGAAGGAAATTACAAAACCTTTGGAAGTATTAATGCTGATCAACCCATGCCAAAGCCTTTTACATTATTTGAAGTACTCAGTTTCATAAGTGGTCGTAATTGGGTTTCTTTGTAAACATCGAGTCGTAATCACCGCGTTGGTTAGCTAACTATTGACATTTATAATCCCCAAACTCTTTTTATYAAATTTCAGTCCCCGGACGATCCGCCTTCAGCCTTTCGTTTTAATCCCACACTTACGAGTTCAGAAATCCTTTAGACAGAAAGATTCAAAAAACAGCTTAGAAACTATTAAATAATTTGTTAAAATGGTTCGAAAGTGGCTTAACAAGGGACTTTAAAAGCTTTTTCCAAGGATTTACAAAGTTGACAGTCTTTACGCCGGTCATCTCTCTCTCTTTCTCGATCTCTCTTACTTGCTGACTTGAGTGCAAATAGTTTGATTTGAACGGAATTATTCAACGACGATGAGTGATATTCGTCCACTACACAAGTATGTACCTCTTGACCCAATGTCTTCACTTTAAACCAGCTCAACGCATTCATTAACAAACCACAAATAAGTGCTATATTTTTAGCTTTTTTGTATCAATATAGGTAAACCAAACGTGCTTAAAGTACTATTACTTTATTTCCGTTGTTACAGTCCTTGTTTAACGTAGTACATAACTGTGGCACGCAAGGTATTAAAATAAAACAGCCTCTGTTATATATCACTCGTAACGGTCAACACGAAAATTAGTCGAGAAGGTCAATAAACACTTGTGAACTGTCACCAACAGGGGCCATTCCGGGAGGATTGGATTGAGTGGCTAAGAAAATAGTAAAATGTAACGCAACAAGGAAGCTTTTTATTAGCTTTGTAAGTACTAACAGCCACCCCCTTGAAATTTTCCTGGATCCGCCATTGAATCGTGAGTGACTACCAAGGTATCTTACGTTGGATCAATAGTCTAAATGCTTCGACACCCTGTTAAACCAAAACAAATATACTGATAGAGAGAAATAATAAAAATGATACCTGATGTCTTAGGAGTCATTGTTTTTTCTGCCAAAATKTATTAGAAGTCTCGTTTCTAGCCCAGTGTTTTTTACGAGTAAACCAACGTCTACAACAGCCAGCATCATACGTACATTACATCGCTCAGCCATGATTTTACTTCGAATTTATTATATACCTTAGGTCATCATTCCATTTATGAACCGCACTGAACAAATCTCAGCTACCAAAACAAAGAACAACGAACCCGGAACAGGGGCGGCGGAAGCGGGGGGGCGGGGGGGGCACTGGCCCCCCCACTAGATTTTTTGGGGGGGCCTGGCCCCCCCAGAATATAATGCCTCACACACACACACAAAAAAAAAAAAACCGCATGAGATTTGGTTATGACATGATTACTATTATTTATTATTGTGATATTACATAATTTTCTGTATCTAAAAAATATACGATATRTCTAGCGACGACTTGCATCATTTTTGTGTCTCTCAGAACAATTGCAAGTGGTTTATTGCGCGCAAAATGTTACTGATTGAAATATCACACCTACACGTTTGTAATCAAGCTAAACAGGGAGGTCATTTCAAGGTACCGTAAAATATTGGAGTGCCCCCCCAAAATTTTTCAGCTTCCGCCGCCCCTGCGGAAGCCCACGAAGACGTCATTGCTCACATTGATGTGACTCCGATAATACAAGCTGTACTTTTTCCTCTTTGCTCTTCTTTGCGCATGGTTTTTTCATATCTGCTGGGAACCAAGAGGTTGCGATAAAGAAAAACGACGCTAGAGAAAGATCGATAAATCTGGCTGAAGAAACCCCGTAATTTTTTCTCGCAATCCTAATAATTTTGGTAGAGACATACTTTAGCCTACAAAATATCTTCTGGTGCAAAATCCGATTTCCGGAAGCCAAAAACCCAGACTTGAATTATAGGTAGTTGTCTCGGTCGGTTGATTATGAAAATGGGTATTAACTTAGAAATTCTTACCTTCTCGTTACACACAGGTCATTATGCCGACTTGGTCTGCAGCACCATCATCCACTGAGGTAAGAGGAAAGGTGTTGTCCATCCCTACATGTGTCACGTACGAGACACGAATTATCAAGCTTATATCTTTTTTGTTCGCTTGTTTACTTCTTTTTTCCCTTTATTCTTTCATTCTTCTTTCTTTTTCTCCCTCCCTCCCTCCCTCCCTCACTCCCTTTCTCCCTCCCTCCTTTCCTTACTTCCGTCCGTACGTCCGTGCATCCGAACGTCCTTCCTTCCTTCCTTCCTTTTTTTTCTTTCTTTCTTTCTTTTGATTGATAAAAGTTACAAAATGTGATGTCTGAAGTTGATTTGGTCGCGTATCCGTTTCCTTTCTTTGTGTTATAGTTTACCTTCATTGGTTAATTATTATCTAATCTCATATTCTATTAGGCAAGCATTCCTTGGTATGAAACAGCCCCAACCCAGGTTAAAACTGTCTGTACCCCACAAGACAGTGTACTATCGAATCCCTATTCCTGTACTTTGCTTATCAACGTCCCACAAGAAGATGGACGCTATCTAAAGAGCCTTTACAGTCCTCTACTGCAAGGAATAGATCCTGCATTCCAGTTGGTACAGATAGAAGACTATGAAGAACCCATAACAGAATATAGCAGCGGATCCTTCTCGCACATGGACTGGGGGGATACCGATCCCACATCAGCCCTTGGTCTGGTCACCCAGTCTTTGAGTATCATCTTGTTCTTGCGCGATGATTCTCACAGTCAACTTAGAGCTGCTGTAGCTAAGAGCTACCTTAACTCTCCGCCTTGGGAATTCCACCATAAAATCGAGTTGACAAGCCGTTTTGACTTTCGTACTGTTGCTAGACAAGAATTCTACGAGTGTGCTCCCAGACATCATTTCCCGTTGTGGAGCGTCTGTTCCGTTCACTGTGGTAATGAGCAGCTACGGTTCAACCTTTTCGTCAGAGACTTAGAAAGAATGAAGGAGTTCTATTCCTTGCTTCTTGGCAAAGAAGTCAACGCCAGCAAGCCTGGATTTTATTCATTTCGTATTTATTACCAACCTGGACTTGAGATACAACTCTCACTGAAAYATTCACCCTGTCTTCTTCCAGAACCAACAGCTGCTTCACAGTTATGCTTCAGGGTCAAGGATATCGCTAGTCTTCGCAAGGTTTTACCATATGACGTCATACCAGGAACTAGTGGCACGTGGAACACACGTGATGTGGATGGTAACCCCGTGGTTCTCATACAAGACACCTCAGACATTGATTTAGATTATTCTGATGCATAGCTTGTTGTATAGTTCGGGTTTTTCCATATGACCTCATACCAGGAACTAGTGGCACGGTTCCCATACAAGACACCTCAGACATTGATTTAGATTATTCTGATGCATACACAGGTAGCCCAAGCTTGGTTTCTGTGGTGTCCAGTTATAAGGAAATGTATGGAGGAGATTCATCAAAAATTTCAATCAAATCACTGAAACGTGAAATAAGGCCTCGAAATTTTACCCGATCATTGAGAAATAGCACTTCTTTCGCTCTGCGTGGTTATTTTTTGAATTTAGCCCCTTTTAAGATTTTTTCCCCCACCAGTAAGAAATAAGACTGGTGGGGAAAAAAAAATTTAAAATCGGCTTTGGCTTGCTCGCTCAATGCATATCTAGATTTTACTTTGTGCTTTCTTGGAAAGACCCTCGTGTTAACACAGGAATCCCAATACATGTTCCGAGTATACAAATTCTACTCCCTTCCCCGGCTCCCTCCGCTGCTAAGTCAGTGCTGTTAGACTCAAAGATTCATTGTCAAATTAAATTTTATTATCAAAAGTATATTCATTTTTGTGGTATATAAATAGTTAAATAAGTTACTGTTATGCACAATTTGTATTTATTATCTCTTGCAATTTACATATTGTCTTTTTATTCAAATACTCCCTTTGCATCAAACAGTCACGTGCTTGGGGAGGGCTCTGACGGAATGCCAAACTCTAAAATTGTAAATGAACTTTGAAATGCTTTAGAGGTTGAAAATATGCACCACGAGACTCGCTTAAAGAATTCCAAGCTTAAAAGAACGATGAGAAAGAAAAGCTTTCTTAATTTTTTACACGTATTTTCAAAAYTATGCGACCGCCGATGCTCACGACTCCTCTCGTTTTCTGTTTTGGATGCCGTCAATCAAATATAAAAACGGCTTGCTCTTGCGAAATCCTTCTGAAATGAAGCAAACTTGTCTTTCTTTCTGTAATATTCAAACGGTYGAAACTTTAAGATCATTTTGGCCTTTTTTGGATGAAATTAAATCGTCCGAAGTTTGATTGACGGCAGCCAAAACACAAGAAATACCTTTCAAGTGCCAACTACACAGGTCGCGTAATTTTGAAAATAGGTGTAATACGAATCTTCAAAGAGTTATTTTGTTTAAAAAAAYGGGGGTATACGTTAACAGTCACGTGACTGTGTCCAGCAAAGGGCCTATATTATTTTAATATGTTTCGTATTCGAAGACAATCTTTTTAAAATAAAATCTTGATTTGAACAATATTAAGAAAAATTTTTATTAAAAAGTTTGRATGAAATTTTTAATAAACCATGAATCATAAATAATGAGTCTCTGGATATTTTTAATAATATCTCTAAAAATACGAAAATTGGACTGAATTATCCATTGTTATCAGAATAACGATAAGTTGGTCCCTCCAGGGGAACAATTACACTCAAATGAATTAAATAAATTCTGAAAACGTAAAATAACGAAAAGGGTTGTAAATATTGGCACTCAATATTCTTAAAATAAAATTATATGTACTCATTTTTCATTYAAGTATATTCCTTTTCGTATGAATATCAGTAGTCGCATTTTGTTTCTCAAATAAATTTCAAAAAAATATTCCGTTGACGTATAAAAGTATTACAAGAGCGTTCAGCGGTGCTCACCTTGTTTGAGATGCGCGGCCCATGCAATCACGTGATTATACAGAAATGCGTGTCAGTGATGATGATTGACCAGTTGTCGTATCAGTTACCAGGAAACCGACACTTGTTTTGTCCCCGTCAGAAATATCTAAGAGAACGCACTCTTTAACACCGTCCTGGTYATCGCTGTCAACATAGTCCTCATTATCAACTGCGGCGTCCTCTATACTTAGGTTTTCATAAGCGTAAGAGCTGTCATACGTCGTTGCAGGATTGTACTCGTTGGATTGCACTTCGATTCTTTTGATCGCACTGGTTTSTTTTTCTGAAAACAATCGAAGGAACGGAGTTGAGAGAAGGGAATTTCGATGTGACTCGAGACAGAAGTCAAGCATGATCCCAGCACAAGCAGTCTATTCCCCCTCCCACTCCCCCCTCTCCCGTCCCTCTCCCTTTCGAGTGATTATCATGTGGATGTTTCAGATTCTGTCAYTAAAAATTTCCAACGGTCGGCATATTTAAAAACCCAGACATGTGGGCTTGTGTTAGTCTTACCTGGATTAACACTACACCTCCACATGTCTATCGATCTGTCACTGCTTTCAATGCCTCTCTTTGACAAGCCACCAAATACCATCAAATTGATTATTCCCGTGTTCGTTACCTCGGGACAATTCGCTGAACGACAAACAGAAGCCTTATTTTTACTATACGGTAATAAGCACTCTGCGCTCCCGGGCTTGAACTGTTGCCGTAGTGACTGGATAACTCTCCCTGTACCAGGCATAACGGGTGGTGAAAGTCGGGTCGAGTTCTTTTTCGTATTAACATCATTGCGCTCCCCTGTTTTATTGTTCAAGGAAGAAAGTATACTCTCCTGGCTTAACGTCCTATTATGGTTAATCATAGACATGTTTTCCGTCTCGCGTAAACCTATTTTTGTGACTATAGAGTCCAATGAACCTGATTTAGTTGGATTAAGCCTGACTTTCACTAGTTCGTCTTCATTGTGTGATAACAAAGAAGTCGAGTCCAGTGATCCTAATGACGCAGCTTGGCTAATATTTGTGTTGTTTTTCACATTGAGTTCCTTTGATTCAACTGGTTCTTTTTCTTCGCGAACGCTGGTTAATTCTCTGTCGTAGGCAGGAGTACAGGGTGGGGCCGAACGAGAAGACGAGGGTCGAAAAGATGAAAACCGAAAGTCTGGAATTTGGATAAGAGTATGATGACTACGGGGAGGCGGACATATCATTCCCTTGGGCTGTACTGTGCTCCAACTTAAAGAATCTGGTTTAAAAAAAAAAACAGAAAAAGAAGAATGAGGAAAATTTCTTTATACATTAGACACTCTATTATAATAAAAATTATTATTTATATGGCGCCTTTCTTGGTGCTCAAAGCGCAAATACACCAGTTTCACATTCAATACAAACCGCTGTTTTTGAAGACTACAGACTAATTTGCACAGGCGTAGCTTCATTTATAAGTCAGCTATTCACAGATACCATTAAAAGTCCGTGGGATTTCAAAACATTGGTATTGTTCAAGCTGCACATTCTTTACATTAAAGTTGACATTTGCAAATGATTTACTCCTAAGCGAGGCTAAGCCTGCGGAGATGAGTCTTCCTTCTTAAAACACAGCGGTATTTACGGAATGAGAAAAGGGCCTATTAAGCAGCGGTCGCTTGTCAATTCCTTCTTGAGGGCGGCCGCTTAATAGAGGTTCTRCTGTTATGATTCTTACAAATAATTACCCTAATTCACAATGACGTCACATCAAAACAATCTTCAACAATCTATTGTTTAAACGCAAAGGATCATGGTCGTCGGCCGGGGTCAAATCAACGCAAATTCACCGAAAATTGTTCTAAAACCATAATGAATCCACGAAAAGAAGTAGAATAGCCAGCAAACGCTTAGAATATTTTTTAGTACATATTAACACATATTATATCAGTTCATTTTAGATTTAACTTGTTTCGCTAGGAGCAAATTTTGTTGAATTTTCTATAGGATTTAGYGATTCTTTCCCCCCACATAAACAGGCAGTGACGTCATAGTGAATTAGGGCAATTGATACTCACCGAAATTAAATCGCCATAACGTATTGAAGACGCTGCCGTCAGTCGATTCCCCGCCAAACACAAGCATCCCGTCACCAACCTGACACAACAATATAGATATATAGATAACCATATGATACAACAATAGAGCATAGATTAGCCAATCAGTCAGCTACTTTAAAGAAACGCATTCATTCTGATTGGATTTGAAAAGCAATAGATCAGCCAATCAGGACATTCATCAGTGTGAGAAGGTTGGTTTGCATGACATACCTTCACTGCCGAGTGACCGAACAGAGGTGGTGGTGGATTGCGACCTTTTAATTTTGTCCATTTCCGAGCAGCTATAAAAAAATATACAGAAATATAAATGAGTTATATGAATGAGCTAAGTGTAGATCGAGGAAGGAATATCGGAAGAGAAAATTAAATGAGGAAGGTCGGGATGAAAGAAAAAGAGTAGCTTCCGTTTTCTTTGGTTTCCAGAATAAGGCCGCCAACAAGATCGAGTACCCTCTCCTCTTCTCCCCCTATCTTTCTTATCTCAATACAATTTTCACCCTGCCTCTTGGAACCAAATCTAAGGTTAATCAAGAGTAGGTAATTCTAGTAACAATAAAGTACGCTATTGCAAGGGATTACTCTGAATAGATATTTAAAGGTACCACTACTGTCTTACCCATGTTCCATAACCACAGATCGTTCTTACACCCCATTTCTTCTAGTCCACCGAATATTACCAGACTTTTATCGAAGACAGCCGCTGAGTGGGCGTACCTCGGGCTCGGCCAGCCTTTGGATTGACTTTTTTCACGAGTCCAAGTATTAGTAGCTGAATGACAAAATTGATGGAGAAAAATACTTTATCCGCGAATGATTTACCGTTTAATCGGTAGCTGGTGTTCATGACCGCCATATAAGCCGAGTTTACGATTTTCTTCGGTTACTCTGATTTGTTAGTATCAACCATAATGGCGGTCATGTCTTACGTTATTYGATCCCCCAATAACTGATGAATGCAAATCAGCAATTCATGCAATATTCAGTGTTGATGCAACAGTCGTGGTAAAATGGTGATTGTTGTAATAGGCCGTTTACATGGTGGTGTTATTTTACTACCACTACCAAAATGCTTCGCGAATTTTCTTTCTCATTCAAATTTCTATTTCCTCATGAGAATAGTAAGACAATTGCTGCTAATTAACTGAACAAAAGAAAGTATGCAAGGGAGTCTGGTAGTGGTAGTAAATTATGCTATAATACAATTGCCTCATTACTTCATTTYCCCCCATTAATCTTCTTTAATTGAAGATGAGACACCTGCATCTTAATACTCATCACTTACTAAATTCATATTTCCACAAGTCTCGTGTGGCTCCTCTGAGGTCCATGTATCCACCAAACACATACATGGAGTCGCCTGAGATAACAGCTGAATGACCACGTCGGTTGGTGGGACCCTGAAACATCCGACAATAAAAAAATGAATTTGGCAACGTCGGGATGGATGTGTAATCTCGTCATTATATTTGGTCGCTGTAAGAGACTCTTTCCCCCTTTCCTGTTTTCAGTCACATGATTCCAGTCCCATCCGGTCCCACTTTGAGGAGGGGGTGATGTTTACCCTGGGTTCCAGAGGTTATCTTGCTTCATTGCTTCCGGATCGAAGATTTCGTTCCTTCCTCCCTCACTTTTCCATAACATGCGAGTTATGCAAATTGCGTACCATTCGTGGCAGACGATTATAAATTTTAAATAATAATTATAAATTTTAGACGCATCAGCTGCCAGTACTTTTACATTAAACTTACTTTTTGTTTAACTGGTGGTTTTGTCCAAGTTGACGTGTCTGGTGTAAAGAAAAACAGTCATATGTCATATGTAACCTCAACACGTTTGGTGGGGGGGCAACTTGCGGGGGGAGGGGGGGCAAGGTCGTGGTGTCTATGTGGGTGGAGGGAAGAGAAGCTCGTGGGTTATTAGTTAGTCATGTGGAGGGAGTGTAGGAAATGGGAGTCGTCATTGAGCAGGCATGGAGGATAAGTATTGCGTGTATACACTCACAGCAAAAACATCACGACAAGACAACGGTGTAAATGCGCGTGCCGTTGTCTTTAAGGTTGGAGCTTTCGTCAGAACATGATTTGTAAGCTTTACACATAGCAACGTGATAGCAACGGTGTGCATATGAAAGAGAACGTATTCGTTCCGTCGTCTTATGGCCGTGCCAAGTTTCTTAAATTTGTTGTGTGTATAGGGAATGAGTATATTAACACAGATATGAACAGCAGTATTGGTATTTACTTGTATCGAATATCCAAAGTGGTGTCTCGTTAGACGACGTAAATTCTCCGCCGAACACAACCAAGTTATTCTGAAGAAAGAAACCAAATTTATCAAAYGAACAAATACCAGGAATTGGACATGGGAGGCAAATTGAATATGCATAATAATACTCCAACCACTTCCACTTTTTTTTACTTTTTACAGCACACAATATATAACACGCAACATATACAACAGACAACTCACATGCTTATAGAAAAACCCTCATTGCAAGGGGGAGAACAACGCATCAAGCAACTTCAACTCACTGTGTGGTTCATTCGAGCATCGAAACTGCGCCCCAGACTTAAACTACACAGGGGTGAAAGACAGCTAGTAAATCCCGGTGCCATATGTGTGCCTTGCCGCGACCGACATATTTTCTAGAATTTTGATTGGCTGGTTGTTAATGATGGCGTGACCGTGTCCGCGCCGTATTCACACCGTGTTTCGTTTTTTGATTGGATGGAGAGTAAATTGATTGGTCTGGCGTGTGCCTTTCCTCGTTACGACCGCATTTGTGCCGCCAGCTTTTCATAGTCATACGAAAACTGCTCTATCGACTTACCYTGTAAGGTACCATGGTGTGTTCCTGTAGATAGGATGGCCTGGTACTACCTCGATCTTGCACAGGATACCAAGCATTTTCACCTACAGGGGCATGCACAGACAAAGTTAATACATGACAGACTCAGCCACCATGCCGGCATCGTTCAAGGCAATTTTTGGAAACACAAATCTTATATGAGAACATACATCACACGTAGAAAGCATTTTTTTAGAAAGTCGTGATCAACAAATTGCCAATATGCCAGTGTAGAAAAATTGGAAAAAAAGATTATGGGTGTAATGACTGGTAAAAGTAACAACGCAGGAAGGATCACAGATATTTTCTATATTCTATATTTTCCCATTCTATTAGGGCCCAGTTTTTTGGTCGCTGATCAGCTTGCATTCTACTTGTCTAGTTCAACAATAGAAAAGCAAAAAATAGTAATAAAAAACGGAAAGAGTAAAAGCTAGTGTTACGAGACGTAATATTTTATGTGATTAGGATTCCAGTGATTGCATTTGTCATGCCTGCTTCTTTTCTTGGCGAAACAAAAAGCAATATAAAGTATAGAGGTTGTGATAGCGATCCTAATACCAAGCTGATAAAAGAAGCTCGTCTCGTGTATGACTAGTGAAGAGCTGCTTCGCGTCTTAGGATAGAAGGCACCTTACCTACCTATGTCATATCTCCAGAAGTCTTTTAGTGACGTACAGATACCACGGCCACCGTACAAATACACCGAGTCATAAACCAAGCAAGCAGAGGGTTTACATCGTTTACATGGCTTGCTGGACATTTGTGGGAAGACAGGGCTCCAGAGGTAATCTGCCTTAGAGTAGCTTCTATCAAAAGGCTCTGTAACAAACCAACCATTAACGAATCAATTTACTACCATTATCGTTGGAATGCAACCCGCGAAGTTCAATGTCTCCTTCAAGATTTTAATTGCAGTTCAGTGATTGACGGTCCTTGAAATGCTAGTCAGCAAACGAGACATCAAACTTTGTGGGTYGTACTTCAACGATAATGGTAGTAAACAATTTCAAGTATTTCATTGTCTGTATTGCTAAGGCTACTGCTCATGCCTCACTTTAGTACACAGACACGGCACGGTAACAGCACGGCCAAGATCACTCTCAAAACTAACCTTTTTTAGAGGCATCGCTATCCTTCTTGGATGTAACCCAGGTCTGTTTCTTGACTGATGACGAGCTGAGAAGAAATGATATAAAAAACGTTAACAGATGACATAAATACATATCAATAATACATACATAAGTATAAATACTCAACAACAGAGGAATCGACTTTTCTCCAAGAATCTGGCCAAAAAAAATTCGAAAAGTTTTTGCCGTAAAAACCGATAACTCGTAATTTCAAGGGAATAAATAAAATTGATTCTAGTCTCTTTTAAAAATCTGCTGCTTGCTTGTACACGTACTTTTTGGCGTAGTAAAACAGGTTTTCTTCACTCAGTCGGCCATACTGTATCAAGGAAAAAGAAGACACGAATGAAGCGCACGTAATGCTGAATGGAGCTATTCAAAGAGGTTATCTTACTAATAACTGCTCAGTGAATAGCGCATTACAGGGTTAAAAGTAAAAGAAATGACTCTATTTATATAAATAAAAAGACATTTGCTACAACAGGCCGGTGTATTATCGGCACTAGCTTAAAGCGGTGTGTGAGAGATCCGTGTGCAAATGTATTAAAACAAACATTTTATAAAACCATTTGGAACTGAAAAGCGAGAGTTCTGGGCCCGGTTGTACGAAGCTTGGATAGCGCTATCCGGCGGATAAATCCTTACCCAGTGGATAAGATCATCAGTGTTTACATACCTTTGTCGTCTTATCCTTCAGACAGGTTTGACCAAATATGGAATCCAAAACGAAAGGGTGCTTTTCTATCCAGGACTTGAACACCTTCAAAGTCATCTTATTATCCTAATTAATATTAGAATAAAACCATTTATCATTAGATGAACAGTAATAAATATTAGGCCCTATTGGAGGAATTAGAGATAGGGGATCGATAAGTGATAATTGGCAAATAGTTTTAGAAATAAGAGATAAATATAATAGTTTTTTTAATTGTAATATAATAATAGTAGTTAGGTGATAAGGATAAATTTCAACAGAATTATCGGATAAGGAGCATTGAGCTGAAGTTTTCAAGACACCTCATCTCATTACTCGACTATCTTATTCTGTCCTTATCTACTTTTTCCTGTCAACCATGACAAATGGATAATAATTGATTGGCAAGAGGAACCAGGACGTCAAAAAAGATAAATATAAAACGGAAGACAAAAAAGAGCCAACATTAAAGTGCCTATGACATCATATTCAAAATTTTCAGCATTGATTCTACATGAAATGAATAGTTGAATGGTAGAATATGTTTATATGATTTAAGTGATGCATATTGGATATATCAAGGTTTATACTCCAAATATGTTAACATTGTGACGTCATCAATGCTGCACAGTAAATCGGATAGGGCGGTTTTGGCCCCATTAATTTTGATCCTATAGTGGCCTCCTTAAAGTAGGGCTATTTTGGCACTACCGTTGGGGCCATTATTTTAGCTCTGATTTTGGGACTGTTTTATCCCCTTATATGGATTTTCCCCCTTATTTGTCCTAGTTGAGGGGGCCAAAATAGTACTGATAGACCCATACCAAAATGGCTTCTGTGGGGCCAAAATGGCATTGTTCTATTTTGGCTCTAGCCTGGGCTAAAATAGCACTACTTTGAAAAAGCCAAAATGGCTCTCTGAGGCCAAATTGGTCCTCTCAAATTTAATGTGTGAAAATTTGGAGTTAGGTGTCATAGGCACTTTAAAAGGCGATTGAAAAATTGAGAATACTGTCCTCAGGGGGAAGTGGGAAGGGAGTTGTTGTTCAACAAACGACTTTTTCTGTCAACCGCTAAATTTWAAAAAAGTAAAATATAGTACCGTATGAAACTGAATAACTGATATTAAATGCTTGGCGGAATTAAGGTAATGAACACTCGCCTCGAAATGATTATTTCACATGAATTTTTCGAAGGCGAAGTGAATATCGGGCAATATTTACCGAGACGCGAGTCTTCGAGAAGCGAGGTAAATATTCTCTGATATTCACTGAGGCCGAGGCAAATAATTTATACTGTTAGTATAAAAACACAGGTGATTCTTTCAACAAAAAAAGAAGAACATATAAGACACATTTAAAATTAGGAAAAATTTGAATTGAAGTGACAAACGCGGCTTTCAATTACAACACAAAATTACGAATCAAAACAGTTTATTTGAGCTTATTTGATTGTTTTAAGTCCCTTTTTACCTTTGAACAAAGTTAGTGCAAATTTGTTAGCCTCTTTAGTCCTCTTGGGGACAGCATTTTCTTTCATTATTTTTTAATTCCTCTCCGGTATAAACAGCAACAAAGCGGCTGGTCGCCATTTTGAATTGTCGCTGGAGGTGAATATCGTGTGATAGTGTGAGTTTCTCGACCAATCAGCGCGTGAGATTTTCAATAATCACCTGTGTATTTTTACTAAATTAAATTAACACCATACCCTGAAATATAATATGAGATATTTTTGTAATTTATTATATAGGTRCAAGGTGACTAAAATGAAGGCCTAATCCACAAGTATGGGATATTTTTGAAAACGGATTTTTTTTATCCCGTTTTCAAAAAAGTTCTTGAAGTGCACACGAATCCTTCTCGCCCGTCCACAAGTCTTTGATCCGTTTTCGTAAAGTTAACATTGCGTTTTCAGGCCAAACCTGATAAGAAAAATTCCGTTTTCAAATAATGAATAATTCTCCTAACTCCAGGATATCTTATAACGCCAAAAAGGACACCATAGAGAGAAGCACAATAAATGAATACTGTATAACAAACTGTCAAAACGTGGTCGAATTGAATGAAGTTTGTTTCTTAGAGTAATCGTGCTTTATTTAATAAAACTGTTAGTTTTTTTTATTTAGAACAGCAGAACAAAACCTCTTAGAGAATATTTATAAGAAAGAGTACAAAAAAGCGAATTTTATACAAATACTAACTTTTCGGAGAGGGAAAAATGTATGATTGGGAAAACAAAATCACTTCTTGTCGTTGAAAAAATGCTTCATTCAACAGAAGAAGAAAAAAGAAAAAAAAAACGACAAAAACAAACCATTTAGATGTAAGAGAATTACTGGAAATATTACGAAAACTATAGAGAAAAAAATACAAATATCCGGTAAATATAGACTAGATATTATTGAAACTGGCTGCTGAAATGAAAAACAAGATCTTTATTGAAATTCTCAGGAAGTAGGAGAATTGGACCAGAACAGACAGTCTTTGGAGTGGCGTAAGTAAAGTGTTTCAAGTGTTTTTACCGCATTTATTTTTAGCATTTTTAGGGACGGACTATCGAACAGTATTAATACTTGTAACCATGTTGCGACTTATAATCTTGTAACATTATCTTTCTCAGATTAGAAGAATAAGATCTTGTAACACAGAAAGCCTTTCCTATCTGCGATAATTCTCATAATTTGACTCTCAATATGTTTTTACTTTTTTGACTATGGCTCCGAAAGTTGAAAAGTAAGTTCCGAAAATCATTATATTGTCAATTAATATTTATACGCTGCTTCCTAGAGTGATAACAATCTGGTGATCAGTGTGAAAATTATTTATGACTAAAACAAAAGGAGTCACTCTTAAAAGAATCTTTTAGCGTATCTTTATGCCTTGGTCTCTAAGCTAGAGTACTGCTGTATTTCTATCAGAGCTGAAAAGTCTTTGTTATTTGAACACTGTTTTTTTTCCTGCTCGTGTTGCTACACAACGGTCGTACGCTTCTATGACTTAAATTTAGAAACTATATAAAAATTGCCTGGCCTCACAACAGCATTTCGTGACCTCTAGCATCAAAAATTATCATTTAGACTATGTTACGGTCGACTTGATAGTTAGTTTCTAGTCCATAGACCTACTGCCGACATCTGGCATGGGAGGCTTGTTGACCGCCGTTTGACACAGAGAAAGCCGTATGCCCTCATCTGCCCTCATAATAATCATGTACAAATAGGGTATATGTTTGCTTAGGAGAAATTAGAAAAAAACTGGTATAAAATAATGAGACCTATCGAAAACTAGAGAACAAAACAAAGCCCTCGTCAAAGGTATAATAAGGAATTATTGTAAAATATTTTGTGAATGAAAAGCATTTGTAGTCGTGTCACTACAACTTATAATGACATTACTGAATACAATTTTCGATCCAAGATTTCTTTTTCTCACCTCAGGACCGGAAGCCGAACACTCCATGTTTTYCTGGTATATACTCGTTTAGATTCAGAACATACTAATTTAAGATGGCTTAGTGCTGACCATGAATGTGCGCTACAAGCCAAGAACGGTTAGAAATTTAATCGTAACGCTCGCCTTGTTATATTTATACGTCATAACACCGACGTCACGAGACATTACATCATTTGTTGTTTTGGGCTTTCGACACGCGCAAGGAGTAGGAGGCAAAATAGAAATATAATATATTTTAGGAACCCAAGAAAACTTTAAAAGCTTGGGGAAAAAATTTAGTGATTTGAAAAATATTTAGAAACACACATGATCCTCATTCACAAAACAACGAAAATAAAAAAATCAGCCAGAAACAACGGTGATTCAGTCTTTTTCCGGGTTGGACTTGAACAGACAAGTGTTCTCAGTGAAATAACTCTGTCACGGTAACCTGCTAGTGTATTTTATCACATGATTAATTTCTTAGTTGCAACTTCCGAGTTTCCTTTTGAAAGTATAAGCATGATTAACTATGGTATAAGTTGCGGTTGCAAGAGCATAGTGAGTTTGCGAATAAGTATTTCCATTTGTCCAAAAACGTTTTTTGCCAAAAAAATTTAAGTCTTTTTTATTGCAATAAGAAGATTACAGGCAAGCTATCCCTAGATGCATGGAAACCTATGGATTGGGATGTCAAGTTTCCAGTCAGCTTTATGCAAAACAAAACTTATAGTCATGAGTTGAACTTTTGCACAAGCCGAATAAAATTACTAACGAAAAGAGAAAGAAAAAAGAAAATTAACTATCATGACGACGATTTCGACACTATGGGTCAAAAATGTCGTCAACCAATTTTCCTGTCAGTTCTGTTAGTCTATGTAGACTGCATTCAAACCCTGAAAGCCGCACAAATTTGAATATTTACTCAACAAAAAAGTTCTTTTCTAACCGTTTTCGTTCGTAGAGGAGTACCCCGACTTGATTAGCCTAGAGGTATTTCAAGGTTTGTTTGTTTGTTTGTTTTCTTCACATCTCCAAAACTGTTCAGACGTACCTTGTTGAAAGTATGTCATCAACACTAAAAAACGATTACCTGATTCAAATCAGCTGCCTGTTGTAGAAACGCATCCTTCACAATACAATAAGCAAGTTGATCTAGCTCCATGTCATTATAATCTGCAAATTAAGGGGAGGAAAAGTTAAAGTATCCGTAACGTACAGATAATCCCTACCAGACGTAAGTTTTTCTGAGAGGTTTTTTAACAAATATCCGGCATTAAGGACCTTTAAGAAGTATTGGCAAATCACATTACATCATTCAGTAATTCTTGCGCCAGAAAAAGATTTAAGTAAGCATGAAAATATCACGCGATATCAACGAAAACAACCGTCATAACTTGTATCATGAGTGACTAGGGCACAAGCTGAAGGGGGGAGGGGAGGGGGGGAGGAAAGGAAGAAAGAAGAAGCGGGAAAGGTTCATATAAACTGTTTTACGTCATATATACGAAAAAAACCCGTATTCACGTGTGATGGCCTACCTTGACGACTTATCAAAGAATCCTTTTGAAATACCCTAGTAAAAATCGATGAGAATGTTAAAATTTACATATCTTGGCACATTGAAATAAATTTAAAAACTATGTGATCGTTAACTTACAAAAGATCTTTTTTGACTAAAGTTACTACAGAGTTCTTACAAAACGTGCTGTTATACGGTAAACAAGTCCGAAATTCCATTAAGATTTTCGAGCGGTAGTGCTTTCGCCTCTCACATCGGGTGTCTTGGTTCGATTCCTGGACACCACATATGAGTAGAGTTTGTTGGTTCTCTCCCTTGATTCGCGGGGTTTTTCGCGCGGTTTTCAGGTTTTCCTCTCTGTGCAAAACCGAACGAGCTAAATTCCACTTCGATCTACAAATTAGCCGCACCATGACTTTGATCAGAGGTTGTTTCAGGGTATCGATAAAACAAAGCATATATAGTAAAAGTGAGTTTTTTCGTTCCTAATTCGCCTGCAGCTGCGCGCATTGCACAGGTATCATGTTGCCGGATTTTTAAACTACAAAACATGCGTCATACGATAATTCACCTTGTAGCAGCCATCAGAACAGATTTAAGCACCACATATAGTTCATCTGCTGACACACCGTTAGTTCCTGGAGTATTGATGCAAATACAATAAATTCAGTGTTTCCACTCTCCTCATAAAACAAAATCACCTTTTCACTGCAGTAATTTCATACACAGGTATCCCAAGATACAAGAGGGGTATCTCGAGTAGAATTTCACTAGAAACCAAATTATCTAAAAAGATTTTGTTCGCAATTGCTGGCTCAGAGTATTCCCTGACTTTCCCTTGACTTTTAGCACATTTTCATGATTTCCCCATTCCCTGACAATGGAAACATTTCTAGATTTCTCTGACTGATGGAAAAGTTTATTTGTTGCTTCTACATATTGCACTTAAAAATAATGAAAAAAATAATAATGAAAAAGGAGATAGAAAATGGCGACTTTATGAAACATTTAATAAATAAATATGAAACATTTAATGAAACATTTAATTATTCTAATTAGTGCGCCCTCTGTAAAAGTTTTCAAATGCTCCGTATTCTTTCTTCTTGTCATTTTAAATGTAGTGAGAAGAATGGTACAAAGAGTTGTTATGCATTAATGTCTTACAAATAAAAAAAAATTAAAAAAATATGCAAAACTTACCATCAAGATCAAACTGTTATCCAAAAATGAAACAACAAATTAAAGAAAGAAAAAAAGAATCATTAATATATTTACTGCTGTTTATTCAGCTTCCACTGATTATAAAAATCTACACTAAAATAGAATATCATACACATTAATGAAGACCAGTATCTGGATATATCTGTGACTGAGTATTACTAGTATATGGATGGAGGGATGGATGGATGGATGGATGGATAAATCTGAATAACAAACGTTTTACCATTTCAAAAGCTATCTGATACTTGTCATCTAAAGAACCTTGAAGACACATTGCCATTCCATCTGAAATGAAATATGATTTGTTAGACTGTAACCAGTTCCCTTATTTCCTTTGGTCACAGTGTAATTGAGGGGGGCATGTGAGGGGGGCATGTGAGGGGGGCATGTGAGGGGGGCATGTGAGGGGGGCACGTGAGTGGGGCATGTGAGGAGCAAAGTGACCAAGGAAATATAGGGTCTGCTTGTGGTCTATATTCATGTACCAAAATATTAGTCATCAATCTTCAGAATAAATAGCTTTTTAATACTGTTCCTTTAACTAGCGACTGATGACTTTTAAAACTCCAGTCACRTGGGCTTAGCCTCACTTCTGAGAATAACAAAACAACTAGCTCCTTGATTCAAGGCTAAGCCACACATACTGGAGTCTTATGAGTCATCAATAAACTGAATGAATGAATTAAGTGGCTGAATGCAGAATGCAGTCATCAGCCACAGTTTGATTGCAAATATTAAACCCTCAATTTACTTACCTATAAATTCATGAAGGTCAATCAATCCATTCTTGTTTCTGTCAAATGCTACAAACAGCCTTTTTGCTAATATTCCACCCAAAGGAAAGTAGTGCTCACTATATAGGAGAAAGAAATTCAAATCTATATAAGCCATTTCATTAATTTAAGTTTAGGAAGCATAACGGAATGCACGGCTTTATTTAACCAATAAAATAGTTTTTTTCCAAGCTTCATTCAGTAATAAAGCATGCAGGAAGTGACGTAAGTATGAAAGAAGTGCACAGTATTCTCCAATTTTCCTTCCTCTGTAAAAACTGATGTGTGAGCTGAGCATTGTACAATGTGAATATTGAAAGTAGAATATGGAGTGAGTACAGCATAAAAACACAGACTATGCTTCTGGCTTTATACCCATTTTCATAGTTAAGCAACCAACACAGCCAAGTCAATTGTCTGGGTTTTTGGCTTCCGTCATTCAAAAAAAAMCCCTCAAATCATTGGAAATTGATCATTGGAAATTTGATTGACRGAAGCCTAAAATCAAGAGGTCTCAAATTATAGCTGGTTATCTGAGTCATATGTAATTTCGAAATAGGGCAAACTTTAAATGGAAAAAGATTTGGCAATAACAAAAATAAAACCCAAAAATATTACTAGGTGCGGAACATGTATTCACTGTAAAATGCCTGGCTTGTGAAAGAGGGGTCAGGAGGGGTTATGTAAATATAATGTTTGTCAATTAATTGACTGCATGTTATATAACCCCAATGAACTACTCATCTACTTACAAGGTTGATTTATTGATATMATTGTCTTGCAGTGACAGTGCTGCAAGGTTCTTAAATAATTTCGTCAAATTTCTCATCTCAGCATCTGAAACTATACCCATATCGTATAATCCATAATTAACAGATTAGTATTTCAATCCACTCTCTTTAATTAAAATTCTTTTGTCATATGTATAATCAACAACATTGAAGGTTATAGTGAAGAACTACAGTGGTACGACAGGTGAAAATACAGAAAAAATAGGCAATGATGTTAACTACTGTACATATATCATTCGTCTATATGCCTAATAAAAATTGTAAAAGCAATAAGGTTTTAGGCATATCGAAAGCAAAAACAAACCAAAATATTAATAACAAAAATTACCGTCTGTTTTGTCAACGACCGGTTCAGCAACTGAATTTTCAACTGACTCAATTTTAATATGCGTTTGGATTTTTTTTTACGAAAGCCCAAACTAGAAGCTCTTTTTCTATAGAAGTACTATTATCTTTCATAATTTTTACTTTTACTCATTATAGTAAATTTGATTTAGGGTTTTGCATGGTTTCTTGATTTAGGGATTTTTACGGTTTCYGTGTTTATCAAGTCCTAGCAACAACGTTCAAAACAAGCTTACTTACACTTAGAAGCACTGCTGTTTAATCCACTAGGGCTTTTAAACGAAARACTTTCATAACTTCCAGAGACCTTGGTATTCTTCACGAGATCTTGACCCATAACTTGGTAAACTTAAGATGTCATTTTAAACGATTTTGAACATTAAAAGCCTAAAAGCTGTTGTCAAAGCCATTAAAGGAAGATCGACCAGCTTCATCTAGAGATCTTCGACATTAACAATTTCCGTAGCAACGTTTCGCTCAACATATAACAGCTGGATGACACAATCCATCACTTTTCCGTCTAAGACCATTTGTATGAAGATAAAGTATGTTTTTTCAACTTTTTTTTTTGTCTTTCAGTTGAAAATAGAACGTGACATCAGCGTCTTTTTTTGCCCTTCATTTGTTGTTTGCTCAGTCCCTTCGCAATATCGATATAAACAGGGAACCCAAAAATGAATTTTGTGGTTTAAGTTTGGTTACATTTGACAGGTGTGTGTATTGTATTGAGATATGTTTATGGTTTGCTTATAATAACTACATAATAAAAAATAAAACATGAAATCTATAATTATCAACACTTGATCATGAAGATACCATTCCATACAAAAGTAACTTTATCAAACAAAAAATATTATTCAAGGGAAAGCTAATAGATTTTAAGAGAAGTAAAAACAGATAAGTAAGTTTTATCAAAAGCGGATATTTTTATTCTACGTAACATTCAAAACAATACATGTTGCATTATATTTCGACCGCGTTCAAGAAAACTAATCATAATAAACTATAAATGAGTTTCTAAGGCTACAAATAGAATATTGGTCATTGGTCGGTGTGTACAAAGAATTCGTATGGATGAGAAATCGATTGAACCACTTAAAAAATAAATTTATCATCAACTGAACTTGAGACTGGCACAACGTCCTCTGCCTTTTCTCGAATTCCTCCCTTTTCTTTCCCATACCCATGATACTTTGCGTTTTTTTGTTGTCGTAAAAACAAGGTAAAATTAATGATACATTGGGTATTGTATTTACAAGTAAGTTGAAAGTCTAATCGTAAGCCATTATCCATTTCAAGTAGAAACACTCGGAGACGGCAAAAACTCGTTACCTGTAGATAAAGTTAGAAATCATTTGAGCCACAGGGTACCCACTTTGAGAAAAAGAAGAAGAAATGAAACCACATATATAGTTAAGTAGCATTGTGTTCGAGGTTCAGGGTCTGGGATAAGCTTAGTATGGATAAAGTTATCTGAAGTGGGCGCCTTGTGTTTCAGACAGTTTTTACACGCGAGTTTTGCTGGCCGGGTCTCCTAATGTTTTCTGCAGGAAATGAGTCTGGTTGAGAAAATGTAAAACACATCTAACTCCTGATTGAAGCAGAGAAACAGCAACGGATGTATGATCATACATGAATAACGAAACGTTTACGAAACTGAGAAACACTTCAAGTTCGAACAATCGCCTCTCCTGCTGGGGCACGTGACTTGAGTTCCTGTTAACAAACGAAAAGTTTATACGAATGATTAGTAAAACTACATTTAATTGTAACGTCATTTTTACGTCACAAACACTTTCGGAATGAAAACCCGAGTCACTGGAAATATTTGTCATTCTCACATTATCATTTCATTCAATTTGTTGTTGACTATTCTGATCCGCAAATACGTCGCGGGCCTGATTCGGCAGACTTGACCAATCATAGCCCTTGCCACAAATCTTCTTTAATTAAGAACTCGCCATTATAATAGGACAAGAGATGATAACATACAATTATTATCTTTCGTGTGAGCTAATTAAGTTTCTAAGTTTGGTGCTGAAAGAATAAACAAAACCAGGACTAACCCCGCGGGAAAGTGCGACGCGTGTTCTCAACAACAACCTTCGATGACTGTTAATTTATTTTTAAAAAGTTATTAATTAATAGTTAATTAATTGCTTTTAATAAATCAATCTCTCCGCTATATTTAGATCTACAGTTGAAACCTCCAAGGGAAATGAAAAGAATTTTTTTTAGGTTTCTGCAGTTCTAATATGACAGCACTCGAATGCCAAGTGCAGTTGCGTGAATAGCAAAAAGCAAATAAAGTGCAGATAAGGGCCGACCGAGGCAGTTCAATGTGGTTTTTTATACCCAAAATATTAAGCTGACTCTGCTGACAACTGAATACCGTGCAAGGAATTTACTGCTGTAACAAAAAATAATTCCAAATTACTAAATAACTGGGTTTTATAATTAATTTCCTTAATGAAAAAATTAAAAAGCAATTAGTTTTGATGTCAAATGATTGATGTGACTTGTATATTTGACTAAAAGTGTTATATTAAATTTGCATAAAGAGAACATTATATTAAGAGGTCCACTTTACCTATAAAACGAACGAATGAACAAAGTTCTATTCCTTTTAAGTTAATTTTCGTTCTGTTCCAAGTTGATTTAAATACTATACGTCTAGTACTAGTTCGGTTTGCAAAACGAAAAAAGCGCCATTCTAATCCAATTTGCGAAGCCAAAGAGTTTTCTGACTACAGTGGATTTTTATTGATGGTATTTCAAGCACGAAGGCGTTGCTATGGAACGTTTTAAAGCATGAAGTCGTTGCAGTTCAACTTTTAATTTCACTTCTTACTCAGTGATAAAATCTGATGTAGTGTTTGCATTTACTTTGTTAATTTATTTTTTCTATCAGATCAAATGCCTCTTGGGTTTATAACACACATATATCATATTTGAATATCAACATATATCTGAAACCAATACTGAAAACATATACTTACTCTCGCTTCTTGTGCATACGCGCACACAGGACAACACAAGTGAAACAGACAATCATTACCAAAAGACCCCTGGAAAAAAAAACACGAAAAAAAGCAGCTAGAGCTTTCCCATGTAAAATTCATTCGACTACTTTGTTAATTATTCAATTATTCAAAGCGATGTCGCGAGATGTTGATTAAAAATAATCTCACTACTTTATAGCCTGCGTGCAGCCGACCTCTAACGGACTGTTATTAAGTCCGACGGACTTAATTTAGTTAGTTAATACTTTAGTTAGTGTTCTCGCGTTAAATACCTTTTTTTTCTCTGTTCATTATCATGATCGATTGTGTATTTGATGATTAGAACACAACCGCCAAAACCTTTTGTTATAGGTAATACAACAAATGCTTTTTTGAAGTCTTATACATCACGAAACTGATGAACTTCTTTCATCATTAATTTTTGATGGGAAAGTTCAGATTAAACATTATAATAAACGTTCAAATAAACACAACTTTTTAGAAATGTTGTCTTTTGATTTAAGAAAACGCCGTTTTGGCACGCGAACCTACCGGAATGATGTATTTTTCTCGGATTTTCCCCCTGATTTGAGCACCACAATAGATCCCTACACAACCCATCATGGAGAGACAACCATGTAGAAWACAGCTTTCTCCCATTGCTTCGGCATTTCTTCCTGCTACAATACACGGGCAAAAGTATGCTGTAGCACAGATACCAATGTCTTCAAAACATCCACATATTCCACTAGACCAATCGCTCATGTCTGCTTCTTTTTTTCTTCGTTAATTTTATGTTATAATTTTTTTACCCCCTTGATAGGCAAAGAATAAAWGGCTAACAGCTTGTCAGGTTTTGGTATCCAGGAGCTATTCAAATAATAATGCAAAATGGCTGTTGTTTACTGTTGTTGCCGGGGGAGAGCATGCAAAACAAACCCTCTCATTGGTCTTCATCCCGCAACAATAACCACTCAAATAAATTCCTGAAAGTTTACCAATTTGTAACAGAAAAAAAAAGAAGAAAACAAAAGTGGCTCGTATTTGAAACATTACATAACAACCTGCAATATTAATGTCTTACCCATTCTTCTTTTTTCAAAAGGCTGTTTTCTTGGAGATAAAGGTTTGCATAAATGTTGAAAACAGAATCGAGTGTGTTTGTTTTTATCACCTTTTATTATGCTAATGAGCCGAACGTTTCCATCAATGCTCTCTTAGCTTTTTTCTCTTAATAGTAGCTACATGTTTCTCTAGAAAAGAATTAAGAGGTCAGTGGGAGGGATATTTTATTATGTTTTCAGCCAAAACGTTTCAGATTCTAATAGCAATCTCCTTTGCAGTGCGGATACGCTTAAAATGGCCTGAAGTAAAATGCCAATCAAATAGTAAAATGCCAATCAATTAGTCTCGTTTTATATGTGGTTAAATGTAATTTAGGCTAAGTTAGACTCGAGGTCAATGACATCTCGCAGTAGCGTTGTCCGGACGCATACCGCTATCTCCGCTGTCAACGCATTTATTACCTCACGCGATCGTTGATCGACTCAGCTAGCAAGTTGTTTATAGCATGTCGCAATTTATTCTA